TGTATATATTTCAATGTACTGTTGTTACTGAATGAGTGATGTACAAAGAGAGTTAAGTGATGTCATGAAGGTCAACTAGGCTTTCAAAAAGTGCTTTTGTATATATTTCAATGTACTGTTGTTACTGAATGAGTGATATACAAAGAGAGTCAAGTGATGTCATGAAGGCCATCTTGGCTTCCAGAAAGTGTTTTTGTATATATTTCAATGTACTGTTGTTACTGAATGAGTGATGTACAAAGAGAGTTAAGTGATGTCATGAAGGCCATCTTGGCTTCCAGAAAGTGTTTTTGTATATATTTCAATGTACTGTTGTTACTGAATGAGTGATATACAAAGAGAGTTAAGTGATGTCATGATGTTAAGAAATGGTCAAGAAAAACTATACTTAAGTGTTGTTAAGGTAAAATAAAAGTGACAGATGGAGACTGACTGAAAAAGAAATGTTAATCAGATCAATTTCTAAAGACAGGCATTGAAATATTAGGTAATAGAAAGACTAGGGGTAAACACTGAGAGTTGATACTACAAGAAAATAAAATAAAATTAAAAAATATTTTACTGACAAAGAACAAACCAATAATGGGAGATGACTGATTCCAGGATCGAGATTTCTAAAGAAGCAGCAGAAGTTTTATAAAAGTTAGAAAACAAAGATATCATCATCATAAAACCAGATAAATGGCATCATATTCCTGATCAAATAGGATTATATCACTAAAAGTTTGTATACATCAAAAGACTCTAGTAAATTTAAGAAACTAACATAAGATCCAACAAAACACAGATAAGCGAATTTAGAGAGATTTTGTTAAAGATAAAAATGACATTTTCATTAATGATAGGACTTCTAATAACATAAAACCCGTAGACTCACACCGTCATAGCTACGTTAGAAAGCCAGTTAAATTATAGGAGTTTTAGGTCATTCTATTTTTTTGTATAATCGATACTTTGTATTCTAAGTTGCATATTTGAATTTTAAAAAAAAAGTAGTTATATAGTACTAACACCTCTACCTAAAATAGGGCTAAGGTTCTTTGGGACATCAATTATTGAGTGCAAAAGGCCACAAGTAAGTACTAAGTTTGTGTTATTTAAGTATATTTTTTATTTATTTTTTAAAAATTACCTGAAATTGAAAAAATTAGAAACGTATTAGGTTAGATAATAAAACTTAAATGAACAAAAATCAAATAAATTTCTACAATAAAAATGCATACAAGCTACTCTTGTAATGATGTAATTCAATACTTTGTTTACTATAACTTGCATTATGCTTTTGCCAGTAGATTTATTGCTTTGTTGTGCTAATTTAAACATGGCTCAAACACAAATAAAACTGTAAAAGTAAATTAAAGCAGGCATGAAAAGGCTAAAGGACTGAATAAGTTAGGCTAAATAATTGTAATTGTCTGTTATTCTGTCTGTTACAATTTGCAGTCATTCTAGAAAAGAAAAATGTACTTTCGATTTTATTTCATATTTTCAGCTTCAACTACAAATTAGTGTTATGCTAGAGAAAATAAGAGATAAAATATAAAGTTTGACTGAAAAAAAACGTTTGATACTCATTTAGTTACTACGATTGTTGCATAAGAGATCTTCAATTCTCCCAGCAAAGACTAAACACAGCTTTCATAATTCTTCCATATCCTTTACATTTAGGTAACATTAATATTGGCTCTGTTGAGACAATCTTCTGTGTAGCTATGGTCACAGTTCAACTTCATATCCTGTTAACAAAAGAATGCATGGGATCCTCAAGGTTGAACTGACTTTAATTCTTTCTCATGTTACTATTATTCTTATATACATTGCAAACCGTGGTGTCTGTCTCTCGTTTGAAAAGCTGTGCATACAGGCAAAACTCAACATTCACTTTTGAAATAATGGAATAACAAGTTTGAATAATGTTGAAGCTAAATTTTATTTCACAAGCACGATATTCTACACTAAACTGTTAGGAATTAATCACACTATCATTCCCATATCAAAATGTGATGTAACTTAAAGAATAAAAATGTAGATTTACCATATGTTATTGTTGAGTGGCTCTTAGCAAAATTACTTTTTGAGGTGGGCGGTATAAGTAGCTCAGAGCTTTGGCTCTGAGTGAAGCCAAGAGTGCCACAAAATTAACCTTTTTAGAGTCCATGAAATAATTTAAATTGATAGATTAACATAAACTTTTCCCATCACTGAGGAAAGGTACTTTTGCTTGTATCTTGATATTACACAAAACAGAATTTCAATCATAAGCAAGTGTGTTGTATATGTTTGTTTGTTTAAGGATGGTTTTACTCAAGTAATATTTTCCCAAAGTGTATTGACTTTTCAAAAAAAAATTTTACTGAAATCTATTAACTTGTTTCACACTGGTAATGTAAATGAAATACAAAAATTGTAAGATGAAAAAGATAATTTTCATCCTTAATGTCAAAATCATCTTGCAATCAGAATAGTTAGTGTCTAAGTCGGACTGATTCAGTAAATTCACAGATAAATCTTTGGTAGAAATACTTTATTAAAAATTCTGATTTTTTGTGAAAAAAAATTTTTTTTTGTAATGTTCACTAAAAGCTTACCAAATTTCTTGAGTATACACTAATTCAATTTAGGATTATAATAAACATTAATTTTCCAAGATGAGCTCGGTCCTATGGAATAACCTTGTGTGTGTAGGGTTAAGTAGGTTTAATAGAAAGAGCCTTAAAAGATCACACACAATATTCCTGTTAGTTCATATATAGTAATCTTTGAAAAAAAAATGGTTTAGAAAAACATTATTTTTGCTTGAATAAAAGTAATACATGCATTTTTTAACAAAATAACCATCATCATGTTTTTTGTTCAAATAGGGTACTCAGCTAAACTCTAAGTATGGATATCAAATTTTGTTTTTAACATAAGACAATTTGAAACTTAATCATTCACATTGACTACCTGTACATGTATGAAACCACATCTGTTAATGTTTAGTATTTCAGAACAAATTTTTGTGTTTAACATATTTATAATTTTGACAAATGGTGAGAAAAAAAAAGTGAAATTTTGAAATATCTTCTAAGCATAAATACTATTTTTTACCTTATTCCAGCACGATATTAGAGTTTTTCGATTAAGTATTAAACAGACTCTGTAACTGAAGAACAGGTCTATCCCTTTCAGGTTTCTAATATAATTTTTTTTGTGACATTATTTTTCCACTAATGATGTACATATCTATTCCTTTCACTGACTATATGTATGGCATCAGTTCTTATACAGACACAGCCATTATGATTAACACTAAGAACAGTATCACATCTTCTACCACTGATTCACATACCTGTTCCTTTCTCAGTTAATAACAATGTGAAGAGCATCAGCGTGTCCACCAATAAGGTATATATATGTTACTTGTACATTTCAAGCTTTAACAGTTTATATAATATTATAACTGGTACTTTGAAGTAAACTGACTTAGGAAGAAACCTCAGTACAGGTATAATCACCATCTGATCAATTTTTATTAACTGCATCGCTCCAGTTGTTGCATAGATCTCTCAATCCTCACAGCAAAGACTTCCACAGCTTTCATAACTCTTCCATATCCTATACATTTCAGTAACATTAAGTTCGGCTCTATTAAGACAATCCTTTGTGTAGCTGTGGTCACAATTCCACCTCATATCCTATTAATAAAATAATGGGCATGATTGTCAAGGTTCTATTCGGGTAAAAATGCTAACAGTTACTCAAAATGTTTAGATTGCTTATAAAACAGAATTATAGTAAAAAGTTTGCTGAAATTATTTGACTTTTTTCACACTGGATCTTATGATAGTGGTTGAAGCATTTAAAGAAAGTTTGCACACACAGATAAACACAAAAATAATTATGTCATAAAGAGCATACAATAAATACAATTTGCACTTGTAAAATTTTGTAAATTAATACAAGTTAAAGACTGTGAAAAGAATGTATAACTGTAACTGCAAGGCATATCCTTACATGCATTTACTCACTAATCAATAAATGACTTGATAAACTGTCAATTGCTTTTTACTTGATCAATTTGTCTATGCTAAAGCAGGGGCAGCATTAATGGTGTGAAAAGGTTACAATTGCATGGGGACAGAAGCCAAGGTGGCTGATTGCAAAATATTAAAGAAAATTTCAAACTATACTATGGTGATTTGTTACTTAGATGCAACCCACAGTGCCATGAGCAATATATATATATATAGATATATACATACATACACACATCTGATTCCCAGCAAATTCATAACCATTCAAATTTGCAATGTTCTTATGGGTACACTTATGGCTGGAGAAATTTTAAAAGTGTAAAAAAAAGGAAACTATTCCATAGAGTGACTGTTAAAACAAGTGTAAACATTTTTAAATAAGAAAATTTGAAAGTAGGAGTGGGAGCACCAAAAAGTAAGGAAACACGACAGGAATGGGCAAGATAACATTACAACACTTGTGGTTTTTGAGATGGTGCAACCTCAAAGTGGGTGTGGCCATTGTTCCACACATTCCTGCTCCTTCCCATGGCTTTTCTTGGTGCTAAGTCTCATGAGTGACTGGGCTGTAGGCCTATACTTCTCTTGGCTTTTCTTAGAACTATCTCTTGACATTTCCTGGCTTTTGCTGACATCTTTGCAAAAGTTTTCTTCCATCTAGCCAGGGTGGCAGCCTTTACTTTGGCTGGATTAATGACTAAGGCTTGTTTGTTTCGATATTCAGCATTACTGTTTCTAGCCTTATCTCTATTCTTGCAGTAATTCTGTCTCCGCTTGGACAAAGACTTCAAGGTTATTAACATAGAGTTTCTCCTTTTCTTTCATTTTGTTTCCTAGAAAGGCATATTTTAAAAATCACACTGTTTAAAGTACAACCTTAGATGTCAGTAGGTTTGAAAACAATGCAAAGGTAAATTATACAACTCATCATTCTTGTTTTCAGTCCAGAGTGCTCAAGCTGTGTCAGACTTTAGCAGTGGTAGCATTCGTCCTCACATAGGAGACACACGTCTTGGCCACCAACTACTATGATAGAATTGCTTTGTCCAACACACATCCCTCGAGTCAGATGTATATAACCGAAAACTTTGCTTTCATCGGTTAGGTCATATTTAGAACCTAGATCTAGAGAATCTACGTAGTCCATGTTTTTTTATCTGGCTGATACAGCTGCAGGCTGATCACATAGCTCATGCACATAAGCAGTCTTGCACCTGCACATGATATGAAAATGGGTTGTTACTTAGTCTCTCACAGAGCATGCTCGTAATCAAACCACATAGCTACTAGTGTATTGTTAGCTCGTTAGTAGTGTTGCAAAATGGTTATTATCATTACCAAGGTTATAAGTAAAACTAAGAAAAACACTTTTAGCCAAGGTAGTATAATTCAATCATGTGCACTTAGATTTGCATAAGATTAAGGCATGAGAGAATTATGCCTTTCAAGAACATTAATCAGTCAGTCAATCAGATTGATAAATTTGTGGTTTTGTGAAATTTTACCGACTTTCTTAAGTGCTTTGGTGGCTATCTGCACCTTGTCCACCACAGGCAACTGAACCCTGGATTTTTTGTACTGAAAGTCTGTAGACTTACTGCTGATCTACAGGTGGACAGTTAACAACTACAACTAAGGAAAATCATAAATTAGTTTTGAAGAATTCTTCAGCTAATATTCTAATTTTGTCTACAGATTTTTTTCTAATGTATTTATATATGCTCCATACAAAACTAATTATTCAAAATTGCATCTCTATTGCCTATAAAATTAAAAAATAATTACATCAATTAGTTCAATCAAATCAATGAGAAAACTATGGCACTGCACAACTTCATCGTTAATATATTAGACATTGCCACGGAAAGGGTAATGTTTAATATATCAGTCAAGTCACTATAGAAGCTCAATTTCAGTAAATCTTTATACATCAATTTTCTAGGATATAAAGTGTTTTCATATTTATTTTCACTGGTAGAGAAATGGGAAGTAAGATTCCTTGAAAGATATACTAAATATAAAAATTACCATTTCTTAGTATTAGGTAATTATAATATATATTAAATACATATGCACTGCTGCAGTGTCCTTTATGTACATAATACTTGCTCACAATTGTCACAAAAAAGGCTGGTTTACAAAAGTCTAAAGACAAGGAGCAGAAACTTTCTTGCTAGCAGATTAATTAAGCCTATCATACTGATCAGTCAAGCCCACTCCAAGATAACACAATAGTAAATAGCATGTGGTTGCTAATTACAGTCTCCTGAGTAGGAGGAATATCTTCAGTGACAAAGTATTAAACTGTACATCTTGCAGAATTTTACTGTTATTAACCAGAGATATGGCACCTCAGTTCACCATCTGCATAGGTTCTGTGTGGGTATTTTTTGGAGAAAACACACTAGTTACAGGTATCTCTCAATTTACAAAAGGGATACGTTCTTGGAGAATTTAATGTATAATGAAAATATTGAAAACACTTTCCCATTATTTTAAAGGTAAAATATAGGGGATGCGTTCCTGACCCAAAACTTTTGGCCAGACATGTTGAGGGTTGAGGTAGATTGTGGCTGATAAAAAACATAGATCACTTCACAATGTCAGACACAAGATGTGAACCAAAACTTACAAATGCTCAGATGCTATATGAGATGTTTACATAGAGAGATTTTACAGAGGAAGATTCTGTGAGGATGCTCAATGATGGAATGATGCACTGTTTGAAATTTTGTCCATAGCATCTACTGAATTTGAATTATGTAGTAGTAAAAAATAGCTTAGTAACTAAAAATATTTCAATATTATAATAGAGAATAATAGGTTTTTAGCTATTTGAATTTCGTAATAGTGAAAAATTGTTTTGTAACAGGAAAAACATTTTTTACAACTTTCTACATAAATTTTTGTTATAGAGAAAAATGCAAAAGCAAATTGATAAACTTGCCCATAAAAGTTAATTGCGTTATAGCGAAAAAACATAAACCAAACATTTGTAAATTGAGGGATACTTATATAACTGAACTGGTAAAATACTGGGTACTTAAACCAACCGAAACCATGCTATATCATTATATGAAGAGAAAATGAATTAGTTTTAACATTCATTACCTTTTATGATTTAAAAGGACATCAATGTTAGTATAATATGCAAATGCTGCATACCTTATTCCTACAGTGTATACTTCATAACTACAAAACGTTTTGGTTCTTTCTAAGTTCTGATTTGAAACATACTAAATTTGCTTAAAGCCCTGTGTTAAATACAACCTGTAGTAGAGTCCAATCATAGATGCTACATGTTATTTCATAAAACAATTGTAGTGTATTCTACTTTATCTTGTGTGTAAAGGATTGCTTTACAACTATTCCACAGAGCAGATATACTTCAGATTCTTCAGATCTTTTCTGACTAGTTGCTATGGAGAGACTACAAGTTGTTTTTACTTAATCTCTAAACACAGTTTGTTTGACTTTCCACTCAACACATCACAATGCAGTAGTACTTTCCACATATATGATCAGCCTTACTTCTGTTTACTTCTAAAAATGATGTTAAGTTTTGTTTAAACTTCACACCAAGCCTTGTCTCTCTTATTACAAGTCACCATACCTCTCCTTCTGCATGCTACATCCTTAAATCTATAGTTTTTGCAGAAATCAGACAGCTGAATGCTAGGTTTATCCTTGAATTACTACACTAATTACCAATTATATCACTAAAATATAAGTCTAATTAAATTTTGTAAGTAAAGCATTTAATTATACGACTGACCTGCACATATGATGGTTTTACAGCAGAAAGCCAAATGCCCATAGAAACATCTTCTCCCTGATGAATAAAGAACAAGAACACATAAACTCATTGGCAAATACACAATAATTATAAGATATCTGCACTATGTCCATGCAAAACATCATGAAATTGTCATAAATCTTTTTTCATTCAAATAAAAAATAAACGAATAAATGTTGATAAAAGAGTTAGCACAAAGGATCACATATAAAGTGTAATAGACTTAAAATAAGACCCAAAACTCGAGCACTTTCGAATAGTTGACTCTTCTTCTTTGTTCTCCTGAAGAAGAAGAGTCGACTATTCG